GCACCGTCAAGATTCGTCCTCAACCCTCGTCGGCTGGTTCTCCGGCCGCCGGAGGACCCCTCTCCGCCCCTCGCTTCACGACTCCACCGCCACTTTGTCTCTCAACTCCTCCACCTCTCTGTCTTTCACTCCGCAGAACTCGCCTCATTCCGTCTCGCTACCCCCGTCTCTCTTCCTTCTCCTAACGACGCCGTTTCAGGAACAGGTCATTCACACCCATGAGTACAAGGCTTTCCAATACCGGATTTCCACATCTTCTTTCGAGCCCAAGAGCCTCGATATCATCAACATTGGTCCGTATTTCCGATCTCATTACGACTCTTTCAGCCCAAACTCTCCATTCCCTTCTTTGACCTGTGATTTGAGGTCCTCCAATGCAATGGTTGAGGACGAGAATACTGAGAACTCGGCTGGTATTCAACGAGGCCTGGAAGATCAGAAGGAATTGGATATGTGTGCCCAGGGGTTTGGAGTTGCCAGATTCAGCAAGTTAATGGGATCGAATGCCGCCAATTACACTGCTGAAGTAGAAGAATTGTATGATAAAATGCTTGCCAAGCTTGATAGCTTGGCCAGACTGGTGGAGAAGAGTTCTGCCAAAGTTCTTGAGCAGGTGAGCATATAGTAAAAAGAAAGAATACCTTTTCGGCTGCGTTCAAGCATTTTATGTGCACCAATTTTGGTTGTTTTCTCAAATTTGATTGCATCTGCTAAGTTACACTCAGAATACTTGACAAAAGGATTTTGTTATGTTGACAGGAAAGTCATAATATGAAACTGAGGTGCAAGGTTGCTGGCTTGGAATGAATTTCTTTTGTTGCTTTTGTAGTCCAATCCTTGGATTTTCAAAGGTACAATGGTCTTCCTTCTAACTCTTAAGAATGGTGCCCTTTGAGTATAGTTTCAATATTGTCTGGTTCCTTTTCTGATACATATGCGCTTGAATTGAAAAAAAAAATATGAAGACCTTTTGTGTATAGTTGGGTAGTGAATGAGCTCTTAAGTCTGAAACTATATGATATATTTTTCAAATTGGGGACTGCTCTATCCTGATTTTGCTTTTTAATTCTCGGCTCTATTTGTCCTTTCAAGAATAGATGCATCGGTAAACATCAGTGACCAGGAATAGGATTTATTCCTGTCCGTTTGTACAAGAAGAGAGCAGAGTAGGCTGCTAATGCTATAGTATTTGTTTACCCTTAGGAAGGTCATTGCTTTTGTCTATCTGTAAAGACATGGCTGAAATGACAAAATGGTCTAAGGATTATTAGTTATTACTATTAGATTCATCAGAGCCATTTTGAGGGTACCTCCACTGAGAACCTATTTCCATCATTACAGTATCAGCTATTCAGCTTTCATCTTTTCTTTTTGTTTTCACTTAATACATACATATATAACCATAAATATAGACACACACATACATATTCCTCTTCCTTTTTTTGACTTTTAATTGTTTTCTTTTTGAGTTGCATGCACTTACCTTTCTTCCAATTCTTCCTTGGGATGGTGCGTTTATATTTGTATTAATTCAACTTCCATTAGTTATTTTATCTTTGTTTTATGGGAAATGCTAACAAGTGCCCTTAGTTAAGGGATTAAATGGTCACTTTCTTTCTACTTTGGCCACCTGTGAAAATGGCACCTGTTAGTATAACCCTTTTAATTTTATTAATCCAATCATTTTTTGTACTACCTTTTTCCTATTCTGGTTTTTGGAGTTATGTACCCTCAGTGCCCCTTTAATCTTGGAGGTGAGAATTGTGTCTTATCCCTAATAGCTTGTAAACAAATATTCTTTTTGAGACAATTTCCCATAAAAGGAACTATGAAGTACTCAAAATTGACATGTAAAAGCTAAAATCTTATACTTTGTGAAATCTTCTCTGTTTAGCAATGGAAATTTTTTCATTTTTCCTGAAAAATAAAAACTAAAATGGAAAAGTGGAGTTCCTGTTTGAGTTGAAATATTATCCAAACTGGAAACTGGTCTAACTTCGTTAGCAAAGTGGGAAAACAACTCCATTTTGTTTTCCATATGAAAAACAGGCAATTCATTTTACTGTCACCTGCCTTTTGCTTTTTGCCTGTTCAACTGCTATTGTTTTTTTATTTTTTATTTGTTCTTCCCAATTCTCCAGCTGTGTTTTCCAATTGGAGAATGAAGAACATTTTCCATTATTGAACTGGCCCTTAGCTTCAATGTTTCTAAACTTGCCTCCAAACTTCTAAAGGATTGCTTTAGAATATCTGTCTGTACTCCTTTTGCATTAGCCATGACATACTGTTTTGTCCTAATATTGAATAAGCTGTTCTCTCATTGCTTCCATGCTCTTTTACAGTTCTAGACTTCTAGTAATGTGATAAGAGAGGATTTCTCTTTTGTTTTAATTTTTTTTTTCTCTAACTTGTATGGAAGAATAAGGAATTTTTAGGCTCTGCGCTCCAAATTGATGGCAGACAGTAAAGGGAGAGAAAAGAAGTATGAGAGATGGAAGAAAGGGGAAATAGAAATTAGAAACTAGTGTTGGGATAAATTATTAGATTCCCAATATTCCAGAATGTGTATTTTTTCCTCATATGTAGGCTATAGGAAATTAGTGACATTGCAAATAAATTATTGTAAAAGGTTTGTGCTTTTTTATTTGACCCTAATAATTTTTTGGACATGTTGAGGTACTATTTTTTCGACTCTTAACATAAACATGTCGAAGTTCCTCGGAGTTGTCTTATCCCTCGATTTTTTGGGTTTTTGGACTATAGCTTTGAAACAGGTATAAGGGAGCATATGAAAGAGGACTATAGCTTTGAAACCAATCCAATTCTTTTGATATTATTTCATGTAGTATGAAGTACACAAAATTTACATTTACATGTAAAAGCCTAAATCTAATACTTCAGAAATCATTAGTTTCCAATGTTCTTGAATTTGCCTCTTTAAGCATTTAGTTATTGCATCTTAATTGATGTGTAAGTGTACTCTTTTGCATTCTAAAACACTATTGCTCTCACATTAGCCATGAAATAATAAAGTCCATTGTTCTCCTAACCTTGCATACTTGATTCTCCCTGCTTCCCTCACTTAATGATAGTCCTCCATATATTGAAAACCAGTCCAATTGTGCTGAGAAATTATCTTTTTTGCATGAAGTAGTCAGAGTTGGCCTAAAATTAAACTTTTTTATGTTTTAGCTTTAGTGTTCTTGAAATTGCCAATTAAGCTTTTCAGGTACTGGATCAGAATGGATGTACAAATGTACTTTTTTTCCCCCTTTTAAATTACTATTGTTGTGTCATTACATAGTTTTGCAGAAAAAGAAAATATTGAAATATGTAGTTGTCTTCATTCTTTACATTCTGTTGTTTCACTAAAATTTATTTAATCTCCTGTTGTTGTGTAGATCACTTGTTGGCGGAGAATGATTCGTGATCTGTCAGCATTGATGCCTAAGAACACATTACTACTACTGTCAACCTCATTTTGTTGTTCTCTATAGGTAGGGCATTTTTGGTTGATGTGCAATGAATCTCAATCTCCTCCTGAATGTACACTTACCTGGTCTGGTGTTGTTTCATTATAATGTTTTTGGTAGATGTAGATTTGCCCATTTTGTTCATATCCCCTACCCCTAGTAGCTAATATGTATAATTTCTGCTCCAATCTCCATGTTGATTGTTGAGGAGGGTTTTGTTTCAGATCAAAAGTGAAAAATGGTTGAATTGAATGGATTTTGGTGCTGCCTTGCCTTCCCTTCCCTCTCTACTCTCTACTCTTCTCTTCTGTTCCCTCCCTCCCTCATTCACTTTATTTTGTACAATAATTTTCTTACCATTTTTTACAGTTTTTCATTTTTTTTTAATACCTGTGAATTAATGAATTATATAGGGAGTTAAGAAAGTATAAAATTTGGTTACTGAAAGATGAGGAAGTTGCACATAATTGCCACCACCATCATAAAGAATCAATAGAATAAAAAAATTTTAAGGTATTAAATTTAAACTTTTAATTAGTTTTTAAAAGTTTAGTAGTATTTGAATTATACTAAGGGTCTGTTTGGAAACCCGGAAAATGACTTCTGGAAATCATTTTCCGGGTTTTGGGTGTTTGGCTAGGCTGAAAATTGAATGGTCAAAGGAAAATTAAGAGAAGTCAATGGAAAATGAGCCCAAATTTATGGAAAATGACTTCCCTTTTTTTTTGGGGAAAGTCATTTTCCATCTTCTCCACACACTTGTTTACCTTCAATTCCTCCTCCTCCTTCAACCCAGAAACAACTCCATGTCTCCACCAACAATATTTCCGGCGGAAACCTCCGCCAGAAACCCCTTCTGGCGAACATTATTTAAAAAAAAAAAAAAAAAAAAGAACGTGAAAATGGACCAGAGAGAACTTCTCTCTGGTTTCCCTCGCCGGAAGAAACCAGAGAGAAGTCGGACCAGAGAGAACGACTTCTCTCTGGTTTCTTCCGGCGAGGGAAACCAGAGAGAACGTCTCTCTGGTTTCCTTCGCCGGAAGAAACCAGAGAGAGAGATTGTATTCTTTTTTTTTTTTTTTTTTTTTTTTTTTTTTTTTTTTTAACTTTTTAATCATTAATATTATTTGATTTTAAAAAATAAATTTTATTATAATTTTTTTATTTTAAATAAAATAATTAATTATATAAAATGATTAATTATACAATTCTATCTCATTTTCCGAAAATGAACCAAACACACAAAGACTGTTTTCTACCGTGCTGCCAAACACAAGAAAGGAAAATGTTTTCCGGAAAATGACTCATTTTTCAGAAGTCATTTTCCAGAAGTCATTTTCCTGCTTTCCAAACGGACCCTAAGTTTTATATATTGTTTTGTTTTAGGACTTTAGTGCTTTTTTATTCTCTAATATAAATAATTGAAATTCATGTTCCAAACTTCTGAACTTTCTTTTGGCATCAATCAATCAGACTTTTCTTCTGTTCCATCAAATTTTACGGTATGTTTGATTGCTTTCATAGATACACATATGCTTTGAATTTTGTAAATAATATAGCTAATTTTTATTATATTTTTAAATGTCTGTATTGTAAAATAAATTCCTGTTCGTCATGGTTCATACCAATTTTCTATTGCCAAGTGCCAACAACAACCAAATGCCTCCGGCTGCTGTTCACAACCTCCACCTACAATGTTTTAAACGTTTATTGTTTTTTTTTTTTTTTTTTGGGGGTAAAATTATAAATTTTCTTATTGAAAATTATATTATAATCATATGTTAATTGCCAGTTATTGACTTAATTCTTATTAACTTATGAGATCGTATTGTGATTCACATATTTGTGCTAAGTTATGTTGAATTTTTTTCATAACATTGCTAGAAAGATACAGATTTTCTAGTAGTTGTCCTATTGTTATTAAATTGTTCTCGTCACTTATAAGAAAGTTTATCTATGGTAGTAATCAATGGAAGGTTTTCAACAAGGAAATAGCATGGAAAAGAATAAAGTTGTTGGAAATTATACATTGTGGACACGGGAGGAGAGTAATGAGTTGCTACGCCTTATGGTTAATGCGGTAAAAAATGGATGGTGTGGTAGTAGTGGAGGTTTAAGCAAGACAACTATTGAAAGAAAGATACTTCCTCTTCTTAATGAAAAATTTGGCTGTCAAAGATCATATGCACACTATCAAAGCCGATTGAAATGGTTTAAAAGACGTTTTTACAAATTTTCTGAGCTTATGCATCATAACTCTGAATTTCGATGGGATCCAACAACAAAAAGGTTCATGGCTAGCGATGAAGTGTGGAAAGATTATTTTAAGGTGAGTTATTTGGGTCATTAAAATAGATTTTACTTTGAATTTTATATTTCAAATAAATTATTAACTACTTTTTTTTTTCTTTCTTTTTTAGTGTTATTCTACTCATAAGAACCTACGCACATATACTATTGCTGACTATGAAGATTTGGCAATTATATTTGGGAATACTAATACCACAGGAAATGATACAGATGCAAGAATCTACAATCTGAAAGAAGATAAACAACATAACATTGATGAGCTACAATTTGATTCTATTTCTATCAATGATGAATTCACCCTAAATGATGCGTATGTAGCATCCCAAGATCCCCAACACTTACAGTATACTTCGTCAATACCTCAAGAGATAAATGAAGCAACTTCAACAAAGTATTTTAGGAAAAAAAGAAATAGAATAGAGTCGTGTGATGAGAATAGTTTAGTTGAAGACCGATCTAACATCTTGGAGAAACTATCTATTTGTTTAGATTCAATTGCTGCTGATCTTCATAGCTTAGTGCAAAAGAGGGAAAATGGAAACAATTGTTGGAATGCTATCAAGGAACTCCCAGGCTTGGATAATGACACCCGTTTCAAAGCTATTGAATGGTTGAACACGGAAACAAAGAAGCATACTTTTCTAGATATGTCATCACAAGATCGTTATAATTGGATAATGTTTAAATTGTCTAAATGAGAGTTTATATTTTCTTTTATCAAATATTTAATTTCAAACATTTTGTTGTATCCATAACTCGTAAGGATTTTTGAAAGTATTTTATTTGAAATAATTTTGTTTGTAAGTGTTTATTAATACCGTTTAGGTAACTGACATATAATATTTAGTTCTAATTTGATTATTGTCAATATTCTCCCAATTGAGCTTGTCATACAAAGTTTTTTTTAGCGCGATTTATTTCTCTTATGTAATTATAAATAATTACGTGGGTGTAGATTTTACTCGGTGCATACCATTGGATAGTGACTATGAGTTTCCTTTGTCTCTTAGATAATAATAATAATAATAACAATAACAATAACAACAACAACAACAACAACAATAATAATAATAATAATAATAATAATAATAATAATAATAATAATAATAAGTTGGGGTGGAGGAAGAAACATACAAGAAATTAATAAACGAATTGAATGAGACATAAAGATAGTTATGAAATCATTAAACATACAAAATTTTGAAGTGAATTTTTTGAATCGAAACTGAATTTTTTTTGAAGTGGGACGTTTTTAGTCAAAACGACGACATTTTTGCAACCGTGTTCACCATGCATGGTGCACACGGTTGCACAGCATAACGATTGCGGCTTACAGCCCACAGCCTAGCACGGACAAGAATGAGCAACTTGAGTCTATTTGTAATATAATAGGATTGGACTTTGTATTCCTAATGTAACAAAGACTTCTAGTATGAAGCAATTTAGGAATTAGTTTCCTTTTAGTGCTCCAATCCAACTTGTATAAATATTCATAGTCTAGGACTCTCAATATGAGGCAGTCTAAGAATTTATTCCCTTTTAGAACTTTAAGCGCACTTATATAAATAGACCTCCATACAGAAGAAAGGACAAACAATATTCAGTAAAATTTATTTTAATGGTAGTGTTGGTCAGCCGTTAACTACCCAAAAGTCATAAAATCAACACAATACACCCTCAACTTGTTTACTTCAATTCATTATTTTCAAATTTTCAATTTTTTTATTCTATATTCTATATTTTCTATTTTTTAAATATAGAAAACGTAATCTTTGTTTTTTCTTTCTCTACTTTTCTATTTATCCTTAAAAATTTGGAAATTTTCTAATTAGTAAACATAATCTCAAGCCAAAATGGAGTTGAACATATCAGACTAAATCCACCCACTCCACGACTCCTTTCGAGATAACCCGGAATTATTTCCAAACTTATAAACTTGGGCATTAAGAAAGAAGAGCACGCTTTATTTGTTTCCAAACATTAAAACTGATTTCCTTGGTCCCCAAGGTTTATTTGTCTGTTACCAGGACAAGTAATATACTACCCACGTACGCCATTTAAAGTTATTAGCTGAAAAAGAAAACATCCTCCATCTCCATCTACAATCTCAGAGAAGAGAACACTTGAACAATTTCATCAATAATCTGTCTTCTCAGATTCTTCATCTTTACTGATTAGAATGGCATATTCTGGGAGCAGAAAGACGAGAAAAAGGCGGAATGGGAGTGAATCAGTGGAGGAGATGTTATTAAGATGGAAAGCTTTGAACAATGAAGCTGCAAGTAGTAATAGTAATGGAACTCCACTAGATGGGGCTAGGAAGAAGAGGAAGTTTCAGGCTAATGGATCAAGAAAGGGGTGTATGCGCGGGAAAGGTGGACCGGAGAATTCAGGGTGCAGCTACAGGGGTGTGAGGCAGAGGACTTGGGGGAAGTGGGTTGCAGAAATCCGGGAACCGGTTTCTAGGGCAACCGATGAATGTAACAGTAAAAGGCACCGGCGTCGCTTTTGGCTGGGAACATTTTCCACAGCTGTTGAAGGTGCCCTTGCTTATGATATGGCTGCACGGGTAATGTATGGCCCCGACGCCATACTTAACTTCCCAGACGCGTTCTTGCAGAACAAGAATGCGTCGGGTGGTGGTTTGAGGCTAAACTGTGAGGGGGAATCCTCAGCAGCATCTGTCAACAATGATGTTCCTAAGGTTAAGGTTTTTGGTTCCCAGTTGAAGCTATCAGATGAATGCATTGCAGAGGGTAATGGTGAGGTTTTGGATTTGATCAGTGTTTCGAAACCCATGGAGCCTTATATTCTGGAAAGACATGATTCTTGTTCTCCAATTTTCTCCATTGAAGAATCAAAATCAAGGATTGTTCCTAAAGCCCAGAAATCAAATGTTTTGATAAGAAATGATTCTAGTTCCTCAACTGGGGAATCAAGGGTTGTTTCCATAGTAAAAGAATTAGAGGATCTTGTTGAACCTGAGCTGCCAGCATATTCTTATGTTAAAAAGGTTAATGATGATATTGCAGAGCTTGAAGATTCAAAGCAGCTCTTTAATGGCTCCAATGAAGCCAATATATCATGTAATGTAGATGCAGGAATGCAGAATATAGAGACTAAAGTGGATGATGCAGAAGAGCGACGGCTGGATTTCAACTGTTCAGAATACGAAAGATCAAATGATAAAAGGTTTAGCCAGGATGAGAATCGGGATTCAGATGAGCCAAAACCCGAGTTGCAGAGCCAACTCGACTACTTTCTCAAAATTTTGTTGGAAGACAATCATTCTACAGAAAATATGAACATATCAGAAACCTTCAGCTTAATGGAGAACCATGAAGGAAGCGACTTTTTTATGAAACTCTTGAAACAAAGTTTCAGTAAGGATCCAATACTTGAGCTCAACACAGATGACTCAGAAGTGAAACAAGATGGAGAGGATGAACCGAGCAACCATTCTACCGTGGTGGATTACACGAGGAACTAGCTTCCATCTGACTATTACTATCATATAAACAAAAAGCGTGGAAAACACCCTGCAGAACCAACAATCACAAGTACTGATGCGACATACCTTGGTAGCCATGACGGGAGTCAAGATGTACTAATTGGAAGTTCCAATAACACAGATCATATGGATGCAGCGCACTGGAATTCTCTCCCCTGTAGTAAGATTATAACTAGCAAATTTTCTAGATATTAGTGCACTAGATAAATCCATTTTATTATACAATAGACTGAGTTTTGTGAAAGTATATAGTATGTTGATTATTGAAAAAGAAGAGACAGAAGAATATTGATTAATGACAAGTCTTTATGCATTGTTGTAACTTACAATTTTGTTTTACCATATAATGTGCTGTCAAATGTCAATGGAAAACATGAGAATCAACTAATAAATCATGAAAAACATCTCCCTTTACATTCAGCTCTATCTGCCTTTGTCCAAGAATCTTCAATTCTTTCACAAAATTTATGTTCTATAACAGAAAGCTACTGAATTTACAAGTGGGAAGCTTGGAAAGCTTAACAGCATTACTTTTCGACTCTTACGAAGTAAATACCATGAAAATGAAGTACTTACTAGGTTTAATTTAGAGCTGTTTAGTCCTGGTTAGAGGTGTAGTATGGAGGTTAATCCTGAAGATGAGGGTGATGGAAGTTAACTGTTAATGATCTTTGCATTCTCAAGCTGGACATATCATATGCTCACCAACATATTGTCTGAGCCATAGTTTTCAGTAAGGGATCAAGAATCCAAAACCCAGATTGAAAGCATTAATTCAAGTCAGCCGCTAGAAGGCAGCAAATTTCGTGAGCAACTCTTCATCATATGACATAAGCCTAATCATGTTTTGGCTTTTTGTGCGTTGACAACTCATCAAGTGTATCGGTACTGTCCTGTTCGATATCAGACCAGAGAAATTTCCAGGGTCCAGTTCTTGTGCCTAGTCTGTTATCATTAGTAGTTAAAATGAACATATGCAGATTACCATAAAAACAAACTAGAAGCAGAGAGTAAGTTTATGTCAGTATGTGGCGTGATGTTCTAAAAGCAAAACCCAATATTTCATTTACTATAATAGCTGATTTTAACATATGAAACCAATGAAAATGCAAGATTCATAAGAGAAATCATGTATCAAAAATAAATAAGGGAAATATATGCCCTGGTTCTTGAACTAGAGAGAGAGAGAGAGAGACAGAGAGAGAATGCACCTCAGGCATCCAGCTACCACACGCAAAGCCATTAAGAGAAACAGGCCTGCCCAAACTCCAGCAAGACCAAAGAAAGGAGTAGCCACCAATAAGAAAGCGGAGGAGATCATTCCAATTATCAACTACTCATCACAAGTAAAGAATAGTATCAGAACAGAAAAAAGTGAAAAACAAGACAATAAGGATTAGTCAAGATAAATAGAGAGCAACAACAATTTACCATTGAGTAAGCAGCAAATTCAAAGTCTGAGACCCCATAATAAAGTCCATCAAGAACAAAAGCAATGGCGTTCACTGGTTGAGATGCAGCAACAAACTAGGCAACGATAAAAAATATACGTGATGAGTCACAGTAGCATCTTGTGATAACTAGATGCTCAATCCTTCTCCTTACGGAGCAAAAACCACTTCTTTTATCTTTGAAGAGAAACCTCAAAGTAGCTAATACAATATTGTGTTTTATAAATTTTTTACTATTTTTTGAATCAATCTTTAGAAGAGCCTGTTACAAGGCTGTATAGATAGGACCATATCATGGAATATCAGCAAATAACCAACTTGCAAGAAAAAATATACGTGAAATGAAAGGCAGAGCAAGAACAGCTTCTACTACACTTCTACCAATGCATTCATTGTGAATATGCAATGCAAGTCTTGAAGGAAACCTTTTCAAAAAGTGCATCCTTACCAAAGTACCATAACTGGCAATTTCTAGAACCTCAGAGTCTGAGCTGAATAAGCTGGACAGTGCTCCAAACCACAAGAGCAAGCTCACTCCTAAGGTCAGTCCAGTTGCCATACCAATCTGAAAAAGTTAAATTTAAGTTGGTATGTCAATATTTCTTGAAAAGCTAGATCAAGGCTATTACACTAGGAGAGCTGTAAACCTGCAGGACATTGTAAACCACTTCACGTGCTCGGCTATAATTACCTTGAGAATAATCACTGGCAAGGAGAGCCTTAAAAAAGCAAAATAAGAGTAAGAAAACAATGATAATAAGAAAACATGATTTGATATTTAAAATATGGAGATTCATAATATACTGAGAAATTACTAAATACTTCAACAAAACCTAATATTAACACTATATGCCTTATGGAGCAGCTGAGTAACTGCAGAAGATTATTCAGCTCATTCCAGTAATTGTGGGCAATGCTGTTACATATTAGCAGAAGTTCATGATATTTACTTGGCCTGCCAGTGCTAAAGCATCAGTAAGCATAGACAATGCCAACCAAACTTGGAAACAGATTTGATGACCAGCCATAGATATGGGACCCTCTCTAGCTGCCAGGGATGTTGCCAGTGTCGTCGTTACAAACACTGCCAAAGTTCTCCCAGTAAGAAGAGCACCTGCAACATGATATGTGCACATTCAGCATAGGAAAGATTGTACATCCAGAGTGAAGAGGACGAAGAAAGTTATATCTTGAGTGCACTATAACAATTGATTGCTTCTTGAGGCATATAGAGTAATGTATTTTAATATTGTTGAAGTCCCCATAAGTGTCAGATGAGTTGCAATATGAAAGAATTAACAGCTATACCTTGAACAGTGTAAAGATGGGCAGATGTAAACATATGCAGAATTTCTATTGACTTGTACAGCAGACATGTCCAAACATCAGGTCATAAATTCAGTACTCCTGACTTTATAGTCAGGTACTCAGGTATTAGTTTCTGTTAATTTTTGGTGCAAAGCCACAGCTGGGCATTGCCTAGATAGACAACTATCCACCAAAATGTCTCAACTAGACCAAGTAAATTCCTCTTAGCAAAGGAATTAGTATATAGGTCAGAAGAGAACAGATAATGACCAAAACAGCCAGAGCCAAAGAAACATGGAGATGCAAATTATCAGGTTCCATCCCTAATGCCAAATTGGCCTGTGGTATACAGGCCTAAAAAGTGGTCATTGATGGTTGCATTAGCAGACAGTGCATTTCTAAGAAATACAATCTACTTTGCTATGCTTGCAATATGGGGTGGATTGCTGATAAAACATGTTAGTTTCTATTGTATAAAAGTCTTTTAGCAAGCTAGACTACATTAGGCATTAAATTGCCTGCAAATTTCCTGTTTGAGATTCATTGTGTATGCCTTTTCCAAGCCATAACCAGATATTGAACAGCCCATGTCAAGCATGTTTGAGAAGAATCATAGTATGATCCAGAACGGTCCATGTGAAGCATGTTGAAATTTTCAATGCAGATTATCAATATTAGATAGCATATTTATCAGGAAATACCAGATTTCAGATATCGAACAACCCTTCCCCCATCAATGTCAGGAGCAATTAGAAGGACTTTGTCATTTAACTTGAAAAGCAGGATGAAAGCAATCAAGTACCTGATAAACAGAATGCATAAGGAAAAAGGAAGTGAGGAAAATTTACTGGCTTATAGATCTATAAAAGTCACATCCAAATTAATTACAGAATTAGTTTTACCACATTTTCGACGTACTCAGAAATCACAGTAGCAATGGCAGCACCACTTATTCCAAAACCACAGGAAAATATCAAAAGTGGATCCAATATTGTATTCAGCAAGCTACCAGCTCCTAAAACACCACAAATAATTTTATGACCAAACTGGAAGATATAGTGACATCAAAGATTTATAGGTTTCCAAGGAAAAATGAAATCAAGTTTCTGAAACTGTCAATTTATATGTTCCATCATTTTAAACAAGTCTTAAATATTACTGATCAATCTCTTATATTATCCTCCACACAGTAGTAAACAACTAATACAAAATTTAAAATCAGTGAAGGATTTTTTTTAACTATGGAAAGTTAGAGAAGCAATATTATCAAGCCAATTAACATAATAGACTGCTTAAGCTTCTTAATTTACTTGAAGTTTCTATGTCTAAGGACTAAGATGATCTAGCTTTCTCAAGAGTGATAATATTCTTATAGAGAGAAATTTAGGAATTAGCAATACTTGCCAACCGCATATAGAGGTGTCTTCGTGTCCTTAAACCCACGAAAGGTTCCCTGAGCAGCAAGTGCTATTACAATTGCTGGAGCACCAAAGGCCCTCATGGTAAGAAATTGTTCAGCAGGTGAGCGCATTGGTGAATCCTATAACACATAAGTTCTGAATGAGCAAACACCAGAAACTTTATAAAATAAATCAGTGAGGCATGAGATGCACATCATGTTTAAAGTTTAAATATATACTTCCCCTTCTTGTGGACCACATATTCACATCCATCCCGCCAAAACAAGGAAAAAAAATCCCCATATTACTCATTATATCCTCATACATGTAAATGCTACGATTAATTATGAATAAAAGGTTACTGAGTACATGTTTGTGAATATGATATGATCTGTTAACCAAGATATCATATTAGCATTCTCTAGAGTCTTGAGAATAGAGGTTGAGGACAAAAAAGCCCGTTGGGAAAAATAACACATACAGCAGCTATACCCATTGCATTCATCAGAAAACTGGAACCAACGGAAACTGCAATAGCTTCTGCAATGCCAAGGCCAGTAGCAAGTGCTAAAGAAGTTGACACTGAAGGAAGAAAAATCTTGCTCTTCTGTTCTGCCCCACCATCTATCCAAACAAACACAGACCAAACCACAAGAGTTGATTGCAATGACATTCCAAATGTAAAACACAGCATCAAAGAACATGAAATAGATATTTATATACTGGAATAGGCGCACATAAAAGAATCACCACTATATGTATGCCCTGGCTGATCAGAACCCTTGCTGAGTACTGCCTGCTCTTCAGCTACAAAAGAAGTTGTAATATTGAGTAGGGGAACATTGAATAATTTGGACACAAGGTTGAACACTGATGCCGAAACTCCTACTGCTGCCAATTCAACCGATCCTACACAATTCCAGAGCATTGAATTATGGCCATAGGCCCATAGCTTATACTTATAAACATGGATAAATTATACTACAATACCATCAATCAAAACATACTTGCAGCAGTGGAACAAAATGAAGTTAAAGTCGAAATCTTTAACAAACAGAAGTACCTATATGGCCGACAAATGCAGTATCGATAAGCGAAGCAATGGGGTCAGCAGCCAGAGCCAATGCAGCAGGCAATGCAATT